ATCCATCCATTGTAGAATCTATCCTTAGTTAACAAAAAAACAATGCCATAAGACTCCTTAGCACGAGTGTACTAAATAGCCCTGTGTAGCCGCAGAATGGTGCGAGTGAGCCACAGGAGTTTATAGCAAGCTGAACAAGCTTAGCTGATCACCACTGGATGCCCCTAGCAGCCCTGCGCAAGGAATTATTACAAAAAACTCACCGTTCTTCCATCCCCGTCATCAAGGGTAAATACTTCATCAGGGAGATGGTAAATCGATCATATAAACTAGCCAACGCACATCCCTTAAAGCTAGAAGTTTGCATCACAAGTGAGACGACGCAAGTACGGTTCCTTGTGGGGAAGCTCCACCCCTCTACGCATCCCCGCTCGAAAGCGTCCCCCTCCTCTGAGTCAATATCTGTTTATGCTTTCGTTCACCCATTTGAGATTCTCTACCCGTGTTGCAGCCCTGTGGTGCGACTCCAAAAGAGGTCCAGTTTCTAGAAACAGTGTCGTGACATACATAGCTGATTTTGATCGTATAGCGGGCGCTCTGCCCCTTTTGCACTTTTTTCGTAAGGCACCCCTCTGGTCTGCTAATCTTTTTAAATTACATGTGCTGAAGTCAAGATACAAGAGGGTAATCAGCAATCGGTTGTGCACGTCAACGATTACATGGCCGTGACATGCACAACCGATTGCTTATAGGGAGATCCACTTCTTTTCACCCGTTCACTTCCATCTCGCACATTCTTCCACGGTATAGAGTGCTGGGTTGCCAATTACATCGCCGTGACATACCTTGTGTAGAAGAAGCTCGATCATCTTCTACGCAAACATCTATCAGCTGTGTATGTCACGGCGATGTAATTCATGATTCATGTTCTGCCATGATGCACATGTTCTATCGAGCACCATAAGCCGTTTCAATGAAATCCTGTCGAGAATCCCTGTGACTTCATGATGCAGACGCATCTTAGTGACTACATTCCCGTGATATGCATTCTCAAGTGTTCGCAAATATTGTCCTAGGACTGGGAATTTTGAAAGAACTAAAATATTTGTTGCAGATTCGTCAGAGCATGCCCTGAGTACGGTAACGGCGGCACGCACATTGATTCGAGAAAAATACGGCATTTCGAAGGCTACCGTACAAGTGGAATCATACGATAAAAGCATGAACTCATGCGAACAGTGCTTGAGTTAACCACTGGATGGGTCTGACCGAATCTTACCAGACATACGCATGCTGTCAAACAATTTCCGATGGAAGGCCTTAGTTTCAGGCATGTATGTCATGTAGATGTGCAGCATATTGTTTCTCGACTTTACTTTTTTGTGTCGTAGTTGTCAGGTCAGCTTTTGCTGCTGTGAGTGGCGCAAGTGTAGCAAGGGTCCGCAGTTTGTTTAGAGTTAGGTGATGATGTGTCAGACCTGCTTAACACGTTAATGATGAAGAAACTTGAGAGCATCATTGTCAAAACACGTCATCAACGTGTTGTGTGACGTCAGTGACACGTCATCAATCTTCAGACTGGATCGCATACCTGCGCTATATTAGCACATTGCACTATTTGTAGTTAACTAATAAGTAATCTATAAGCTGACTCGCCTTCTAGGCACGTAAGGTGCTCAGGATTATGGCTTGATGCTCTTAAATTGCCTTCTTTATCAATTTTGTACTCATTGATTTATTGATTGGTTTGTCACTTATGAAGTGTAAACGCTCAGTTGGGAATCGCTTGTCGACTCGCCCGAAGCTTTCGTTCCGAATTACTCCCCAAATTGGTCGCAAGCGGTCCCCTGAGCGTGGTGTATACGGGAAGCCGCCTGGCGCTCGCGGCGTGTAGAATAGCCTTCTTCAGCTTAATGCCTGTCATTTGTAACGTATCGATTTATTGATTTTCAATAATAATTGACTCACTTGTTACTGTGATACTGTCACTAACCATTTTCTTCGTTTCTAGAATAATTTTTCCTAAATTATTCCATATTTACACTTTTTCACTTTGATGACATGTTGTTTCATACATTGCCTTATTAATGCCTTTATTCAAACAGATGAATTGTTTTGCTCAGGTGATTGGCTCTGTTGAAAAAAATGAGGATCATATGGGTCCTAGTACGAGTACTACCTGCTTGTAGTTCTCCTTCGGTGAAATATCCATCTGAACCCGTAGTACCGTTTGCCTGAACGTAGCTGAAGTATAGACTAGGAGGCGGAGCTTCCGCACTGATCTAATTGGTGGAAGGACGAGATGCCGCACACCTGTTAGCGCTGGGTGTGGCACATCCCCGAATCAGCCAGTGGCGTGGGACTTAATGCTCCGCCCTCTAGGCCAAGCGCCCATCTCATTTGAGTAGATGATCGGCATCAAAGTTGTGTACCGATATACTGAACACAAATAGCGCGAGATAAGAAATTCGCTTGGCACGCGCTTCGCCGCGATGCGGTTGCGGAGCATGTCATATCTGAAAGAATCGATGTTATGATCAATTTTTTGCTTTGCTTCAGGATTTCATCTCTTTATTGTGGGTAGTTAGACCGGCTTCATTACCATCCTTGCTCTTCGGGTCTTTAAGTATGGCACATCATGGACATGTAATCCAAGCGTTGCTAGGGTGGAGGGGGAGGGGGATAAGCATTTTGTACTTCTACTGAATCCTTTTTTTTCCAAGTTCAGCATGCTTCACTCTTGTAAAACCTGTTAACACATTGGCGACAAGGCGCCTTTTCGCGTGTCTGCGTGGGATGAAGCAGTTTTTTCCTATTTTCAAGAATGCGCATACATGTAGGCGGTTACACGCCAAAAAAAATTGAAGAATGGTGTGGTGGTTCAGTGGATTTATAAGTATGCTTCAGAGGATAAGCAGCGAGAACGACAATAATAGTAATTATAATATGTTTATTATATATAAATGGGAACCTACGTCTCGATTGCGACGGATAGGATGATATGTGAGCAAATGGACGTCTTGCTTGGGACGTTGACTGGAGGTAGCAAGCAGCTAGTGTATTCTAGGGAATATAGCAGACTGAGTGCGGACCATCATATCATGGGTCCGCCTCATGGCAGTACTTAAGGACCCACGCTGAGAGAGGTTCTAGCCCCAGACGTGGAGAGAGGAGGTAGAGAGTGGGATCGTCGTCGCAGACGACGATACTCCGCCGGGCAACAGAATTTACAATTTTCATGAGATTTAACATAGAAGAACATTAGCAAGTTGAT